GTGAGAGAGAGAGAGAGAGAGAGAGAGAGAGAGAGAGAGAGAGAGCCTTGACACTGATGAGGGACTGGTGGTTATCTGCTTGGAGTTCTAGAAGAATGGGCGTTATCAATATTTGGGGCTATTTTTTCTATGGAGTTCTGTAGAAGACATTGACCTTGTGTTCTTGCTGTTCTCTAGGCTAGTATAATCTCTGTGCTGCTGTCTTTCGGTTGTATTCCAGGGCAACACCATCCCTTGGTATGTTGTTATTTCGTGAATTTTGTGGTAAGTGAAAAAAAAAAGAAAAAAAAAAAGAAGAGAAGGGGGGGGGGCGAGCGAAATGGGCATAGTGATGGAACGACGACAGCGGCGGTGACGGTGCCCGGTTGTCTATCAGTGGTTGAGTAGGAGCGCAGCGTCTAACCATGGACTCGGATTCCTCAACGAGGCGCTCACCCTGCCAGGCCCCATAGCTGTGTGAGAGCTATGGCGGAAAGTGCCCACTTGTAACCTAGCCCTTGAGTGGGCTAGGGAGSGCCTTCGTGCTCCTACGCCTGGGCATCCTGGCAGCCCTCTATCTATTTGTTTGTTTGTTTTTTTTTGTTTTTTTGTTTTTTTTGTTTTTTTTTTTTAAGCACACAAGCTCCATCTATTGGTGGGGTTACACCATATTAAACCTAAATGCATTGGATACGTCTCAGAGATCTGTATCCGGCCCTGTTTTTAGGGCTGAATACATTTCACATCCACTTGGCCAACTGATTGAGAGAATTTGGCCCACTTCCAGTTGTACACATTGGTTATTCTCGGAGGGGTTAGCGCGAATGGAAGCAGCACTAGCAGCCGTGGCGCTGCTGTGGGGCAGTGGGAGAGCGTCCAGCAGTGGTGGGAGCGCCGCGGCAGTTCGGCATGACGACCTCCAGCCATGAGATGTGCTCAATACTGGCACTGGCAGCGCTGTGAAGATGACTCGGTCACATGGGCTCTGCAGAGACAGGTTCATATCGAAAGCATCATCAGACGTCATCTAAGGAGAAAGCCTATGCCACGCTGCTTGTGGGATATTTGAGTTTTCTTGTATTCTGTACTTGGCGCTGTTTGTGGGATAGGTACTTGATTTTACTACCAGCACGATTCAATTGGGTTCTACCTGCGTACAGATACATTTTATTTCGTTGAGTGTAGTTAAGTCCTTTTAGGAGAGTCCTAATCGTTGAATTCATAATCCGAATGCTGTTGCATGTATCGAACCGTAGATACCGGCTAGTTCACACTCTCCTGTAGTTCCTGGCTTTCGCAACGCACCTGTGTTTCATGTGTAGTTTTCATGTCTAGACTTCACGATCACCTCTGCTACATGTTTAGTTTTGATGCGTCCACCTGTTCTCCTGAATTTAGGTATCTTTCCCAGTGGTCGGCACTTCATGGAATTATACTTGACACTCCTCCCCTCACGATCAAGCCTGACTCCGCACAGTGTATCTGGCAGCAAACAAGCGCGGATGCATAATTTCCTATTGTAGTAATTTGTTGAGGCTTTTGCAGGGCGCTGTGTGAGGATGGTTAGCTGATTTCCGCCGAGAGAGCTTTAGCAATGCACAAGGAGAGATCCTGGGTTCTGTAATTTCTGTCACAACAGTACGCCAGGTAGATTCTGCGCTTGTCGCATCTTGTTACTGGATATGTCCTGAGATCTTTGGACAGCGTTCAGGTGCACTGCTTATCATTTCAATCTTGGTATAATTACGTGTTTTGTGTTTGTATTTCCTTAGACTGTGGTTGTTGGTTGTATTCCCATAGCTTGTAGAAGCTCACGTTGCCTGTTGGAATGTAGTCCCTGTTTGGAAGCCCCATGCTGGTCTTTACAGGTTAAACTTTATCCATGGTGACAGATTGTCATTTGTCTGGCCATCTGTTGTAATTTCAGATGCCTCTCAAACCAAGACTGGGATGGTACATGGTAGTAAGTAGCTCACGCTGTTGTTGTCGTTTGAAGTTTGATGCTCATCCCCACAGCCTTGGGCACCGAGAGATCGAGTGCAAAGCCGATCGTTAATCTGTAGCTATGTACTCGGGCCTGCTGAACGGCTTCAGCGTGTGTTTTAGCACACACCTCAATAGGCTGTAAGGAAGGGAAGAATTAGCAGGAAGTAGTCTGCTGTGAGCTGGATTTCAAGCGTCCTTTGTGTACAGGGAACCTGGTCTGGTCGTATTTCAGGCCAGATTAGTGCATGTTGTTAAGAGTGTGAATGCTTGGTAGTCTAGTAGACGCCTCTGTTGATCCTAGGGTGCAGAGCAGCACTTGTCTCTGTTGGCAAAGTTGGGAAGGAAGGGACTAGTTGTTGGGGAAACTCTTGGAACTACTAGCAGCGGCGCCACCTGGAGAGGTGAGAGTGCAACGAGGGGCGGTGGGAACGCTACTGGTCAGGTGGTAATTGAGAACCGGTGAAGAGCAAACTTGCGTTGTTCCCCATCAATATGCTATGAAGATCCAAGGGAGTGTGGTGGGAAACCCGTCATGGCACCTCGGGCTCTTTACAGTGTTTTTGGAAAGCCATAAGGAGAGAGTAGCCCTGATGAAGAAGAGGGGATTTTTGTTGGCGTGATGATCAAGCTGGTGCATGACTTTGTCTCGGCTCCTAGGTCTCAAACAGTAGATTTGGTCGTGTGGATCAGATATCGATCTTGGTGTGTTGCTTTTTTGCTTTTCTGTGTGCTGAGAGCGCTTTCGAAAAACACATTCTTTGGAATCGACTTTCTTTGGAATCTACTCACGATAACCCGATAAGGTAGTATGGGTAGTGTCACCACGGAGGCAGTGTGAGTGCTACCGTCAGTGGTGGGAACGCTTCTCGCTTGTAGGTAGCATAAATAGGGTAGGAAGCAAATTTGAACTGTATCCATGGTGATCTTGGTCCGTTGAATGATATTGTCACTGAAGATCCAAGGGTGCGTGGTGGGAAATCCGTCTAGGCGGTTCAGGCTTCCGCGAGTTTACAGATCTGTACTTGGTCTCTTTTCCGTAAGATCTGAAGCGAAGCTGGGTAAGGCTCCCAGACAGATTACCAGGAGACCGGGAATACGAATTCTTCAGTAGATCTTGGCTGTTTTGCTCCCTTTATTTAGCTTTCCTAAAGTTTTGTTTCAGTTGCTCACTTTCTTTGGAGTTGCGGACTATGGGATGCTGGACCCGATTTCCAGCTCAAGCTTCACTACCGGGTTGAGATGTTGAGGGATTCCTGGCCTCATTCAATTACTTTTATAATATAAGCTGCGACTTGCAAAAAAAAAAAAAAAAAGAAGAGAAGAGATTGGACGTGGAGAAAAAGAGAGGGGCATTTTTTTTTCTTAAACGCTGCGTAGTGTGAGGGGGGTGTAGTAGCCTCGAGCAGCTCGAGACGGGAGGACTCCTTGGCAGTGACACGTGGACAACCTCTCGGCAGCCATCGCCACTCCAGTGTGTCGAGCAGGGCACGACAACCACAGGCTGACGGCGGCAGAGATGGAGCAGAGGCTGCTGCGAACTGTCTGTCCGATTACAGAGACGGCCGGGCGGCTGCTGCTGCTGCTTGTCCTGCTGCTGATCCTGCAGTTGGCCTGCCCCGGCCAGGTATCTGCCCTTCAGCCGCCACCTGGGTCAGTGAAGATTAACGACTTCGACTACGCAGGCAGCGGGTGTCCTCCCGGGAGTGTCGAACTCGTTATGTCCGACGATGGGAATGCGATGACACTGAAGTTCACCAAGCACCTTGCTACGACGTACAAGAGCGCGGTGCATCGGAAAAGGACGTGCACAGCGTCCGTAGGCCTCAGTTACCCTGCGGAATTTGCCATAGGGGTGGGGTCAGTCAGTGTCAGAGGGTACGCAAAGCTCGATGGAGGCGTGTCTGGGTCGATTAAGGCGCCGTATTACTTCTCCGGGCAGAGAGGGATGGCTAGCAGCAAACGCGTCATCAAGGGACCTTTCAACAACAACTTCGAATACTCCGACAGCTTCGGACCGGTGTACAGCGCGTGCGGCACAGAGCCGAAGTTGTCTATCGTCACGGAAATCAAGGTGAACCCAGGCAGGGCGGCCAAGGGAGGGGGATTTATTCGAGTGGAATCCACGCCCCAGATCTTGGATCTCGTCTGGAAGCGATGCTAAGAAGGACAGCCCCTGCCATCTTCCCCCGAATAGAAAGCATGGGGCGTTATAGCTGTGTTTGGGGCAATATCCCGTGCACACACAGACATCGTTTCCTTTATGTTTTATTTGGGGAAAGACGGCAGGAAGGCAGCCAACACTTCGAGCAACCTAAGGTTTAGCAAGTTAGAGACGGGTGGGCGGTCAGCGAAAAAGGGGAGGTTGAGAGTCTGGGGCTCGTTAGACACTCCTCGGGCACATAAAATCTACGAGAACGTGATCGCTCCACCTATCCTCGGGGAAGAAATTTGGGAAAAAATGTGAAAACAACTGCTCGAGGATTCCTTGTAGCATCCTTGTGGCCCAGCCATTTGTTGCCCTTGTGCGAGGGACCTCACAAGGTCCCTCGCAGTCTGAGGACCCGCGATAATCGGAGCGGCGAAGGCACTCGTCATCGGCAAGTTCCTTGTTCCGGCTGGTCCATTGCTGTTCCGGCAACGGGTGCACGAACATCTTCGAGCGACACCGGCGGGCTACGCCCAACGGCTCGCCAACGGCTGCCATTGGTGGACGAGGTACGAGGGGCCCATGTAGTAATTGCGGTTGATGTCACCCGACAGACGGGGTCTCCTGCCAGCGTCAGCGGGGTGTGACGAACCACCTTCTGTGCCGCGCGACTTTCTGCGCGATGACAATGAGGGTCCTGAGATGGGAGGGTCAGGCAAATTACGGGGGGTGGGATCGGCGGGTAAATTGCGTCGGTGTCCTCGCTTCTTTCTTTTCCATTGCTTCGCATCGTCCCCTTCGGCGGTGATGGGACAGGCCCGGGGCGGACGGTTGAGCGTGCGCGCCCTGTTGGGCGCGATCAATAACTGTTGGCAATAGTTCGTTCTTGCCCTGTTGAGAGTAAAAAGGGGAACTGAGATTTTTGGCGCGACGATCGCGCGGGAGCTTTCCGGTTTTCTTTTTAAATTTTCCTTTCAACTAATGATAACCCCGGAGGGCTCTCGGAATTTTGATTTCTTTTACGTTTTATTTGCTTTTCTTCCGTCTCGTCGGAATTTTTCTGTTGCAATTTCAAGTTCAGATAAGAATTTAGGACTTTTTGAATTTCTTGCCGAGCGGCACCTCTTTCTTGCACGCATCTTCCTGCGGCGGGAACGAAGTTCCGGCTCGACGGCGCCTTAATCTTGCATGCAACTGTAATTTTTGGGCGGGCGCCATTGTAACTCATATCTTTCTTCTTTCGCCTTCTTCCCGCCTCCTTCTTTTTCTTTGCTACGTCTGATTGGGCAGCTCGCTGCATGATCGGATCGATGCGTGGAGTGTGGCTACGTCCCCCACACAACGGTCTGACCATGCAGAATGCAGGCACTGCCTTCCCTTCTCCTCTTTCCAATCCCTGCAATCTCGCACTCTTTGCGCACGCATGCATGCTATAAATCTCGTCATCGCGATTAGATATCTTTCTTACATTTCTTGGAAGCTCGAGGTTAGCTCGATCAATGAGGGTCGACTAATGAGCGAAGTAAGAGGTGAGTTGACGTGGGAGTTGGGCGACCCGATGAGCTGGTGCCAAGTGTGCGGGGTTGACGTGTAGGCCACGACGGACTGTGGTGCACGGGCGAACCTGACGGGCGCATGCGGACTAAGTGGGGTGACGACTTCGTTGGTGGGTGCGAGACGACGGACTGTCCGCATCGGGAAAGGAGAAAGAGCGAAGGGAGATGGGTGTGAGAGTGTAATCTTTTCTTGTCCCTTCTCAGTCCTTTTATATAAAATTTTGGCTTCGGGCGAGACGCCCCTGTTCTGCATTTCGACGTTTCTTTCGGCGTGCTATCATGTGATGTATGGGTTTAATGTTTGTCCTTCCTGTTTAATTTTGTACTCGCTCTATGGAATGGACTTGATGATCTGGTAATGCTTGAATATCCAATGTTTGACGCAATACCCCTGGGATTACCCAGCGCGCGCAGCGCCGATCTATCCCCACTTGATGATTACCAGATGAAATAAGTTCGATGCTGTTGCGGTGCTTCGATGTATGTCTGGATGTGCGATGAGATATCCACATGCCATGTCATTGTGAATCAAAGGGAGTTGTGTTGCATATCCAGGAAGGGGATTTTCCACGTGATGGCCACCTAACTACTTTTGCTCAAACAAAAATGGCTGAGAGATTATTGCATGATTACATGAACCTTCATTTGCATAGGTGATTGGCTAATAGATCGATCCACAGTGAACCAACCCCGCGAGTCCCCGTGTAAGTGCGATCTGACGAGCGCGACTTATACGCGCACCCGCGAGGCTGGTCCGCAACCCCGAATGGACTTAGCACGACAAATCTCGATGTGAATGAGGGAATCCCCATTTGCGATACGGGTCGGGATAAATTCAGGTCCCGACGCCATACGGGGACCGCTGGGTGCGTACGATTTGAGAATGTCCAAAACAAAACGAGATTGATAGCCTGAGGGAACTAGCTGCATGGTTGAGCTGGTACGCTGACGGATCGCTCCTTGATTATTTGCGCAGTTTAGGATTCGACCAACTGGCCGGTGCGCACGCACGTGTAAGACAGCAGCCGTCCGCGGACTTGCCATCCACACGCGCGCCTACAAAAGCCAGCTACGATCTCGCCCCGTAGGGAGATGTGTGTGCAGGAATTTGGTTGAACGATAGATTCCCCTTTCTGGATCACCGATCGCGAAAGCCTGAGGGACCCAGAATACCGAGCGTATTGGGAGAGGGAATAGATCCGTTGACAGCGGATCCGACAACATCGCCACCTACGGAACCCTGAGCACCTTGAGTACCCCTGCCGGACTGAAAACGAGCGACTGTGCAGGGGCAACTTCCAGCTGGCAATCAACCAAGACCCGTGGATTCCCGATTATCCCGACAGCCGAAACCAGCAATATCTTCTAACCCCAGGCTTCGTTGCCATCACCACTGACTTCCCGCCCTTCTATACCGTCCTCCCTTACCATCGGTTACTCGTGGTCCCCTGGGATTCCATAGCCCGGTTCTGGCCCCGTCCACCGTGCTCGGAGTGTCGTCGGCAGCCCGGTGAGTATCGGCAGGCAAGGGGCACACAACGAGCCCATCCCAGGACAGAGCGACGGGAACCCAGCTCGTCTTCGTCGGCCCCTGAGACTTGCGACGACCGGCAACGGTACGAGCAGAGACACCCGTAGCACCCCACCCCGGCCCAGGCCGCACAATCAATCATCGCCCCAACTCTGAGCCAGAAGACACTTGCACTTCTACCCCTAAAACTGTCCACAGAAGATCTCAGTTCCGACCTGGTTCTCCATCCCAAATCCCCAAAAGTCCTTGGCACACCCCTTTTCGCACTTTCGGGCCCCCATCCCACTCCGATCAGGAAGTCACGTCGGGCGTGAGGTTGGAGCCGACACGTGGCGAGCTTACAGGGAAACGAGTGGGATAGTCGCTCAGACGATCTGGCGAACAGAGGACGACGTAGACAACGGAACGTGCTGCGCCGCGATCCTATAATACTTAGGAGTCGATCGGCCGGAAGACAGGCCATCAATATGAACGCCAATCGAGCACCCAACGTTAATGTACAGTTGGGCGGGGCACCTGTCCCCGCACCGCCCGTCCGAGTTCGCGCACTTGCGACTCCCCCTGATTTGTATCTCTTCGACCCTGCACATCACCTGGCCGGGGCATTACTGGCCAGCCTAAGGGCTCAACAATACGATAACGATGAAGCCCGGATCAACATTCCCGCCCGATTGGGAGGATATGCACACCATTGGTTTAGTACCTATGCCTGGATTGATCTCCCGACCTTCGAGAGAGACTTCCTAAATCGGTTCGACTACATCCACCCTGAACAGGCTTTCTTTATGATCAAAGATCGTATGCCGAAACCGCATGAATCCGTTACAGAATATCGTAGTAGGTTCTATATGTTGTTTGTCAAGTCCGAGAGAGACGAAAAGGTAGGTAGAGACTTTTTTATCGATGGACTTCGGAGTCGGTCGATGAGGGCAACACTGCGAAAGCAATTCTCCCCCATCAACCATCCCATGCAACAGATTATGGACGGAGCCGAGGAGATGGAAAGAAAGTTCACCGCCAGCTTCTTAGAAAGCGAAGATCACGCCAAGGAAGGAGACTCCTCGGAACTGGCCCGGGCGAAAGCTGAGCTGGCAGCGCTTCAAAACAAATTTGAAAATATGGGTTTCGTCTCCGGACCCGTCACCTACCTAGAACAGGTCACGGCCAAAAGGCCGATACCCGATACAGTCGCAGGACTACCGACCACAATCACACCATCACCTCCCCTGAGCGTCCCCGCAAAGCCTAACGAATCCAACGCAATATTAGAATTAACTCGAACGTTAGTTAATTTGATGCAAGAAAGCAAAAAGGAGCAGCGTGAACACAACACACGAATCAAATTGATGATGAGGTTGATGCGCCCCATTATCGTTAGGGCAACCCCATGAATGCAAGGAGCAGCCCCTGCGGCAGCAGTAGGAGGGGCAGCAGTCAACACAAATGTTTGTTACACGTGCCACCAGCTAGGACACATAGCCCGGAATTGCCCCCACCGACCTGCACAACCCAGGATCGGAGCCGCGCCAGTGGCGGCGGCCCCGATCGCTAACGGACCTGGTCGAGTGGCTACGATGGTGGAAGAAACGGACAATGGTGTGAACCCGTCGGGGGTTACGGAGGAAGCAACCGAACTTATCCCGCTTGATCAATACCTATCACTAGGATATCCGGGCCTCGTTATGATCGGGGCCATCCAGCCCGCCCCCGACCTTAACGAAGTATTGGAATGGAGACCCTCCCCGAGCGAGATGGAAACGGGAGGATCCGTGTTCGTTACGGGAGAAATCAACGTTCTGGACGTCGTCCGAGCGCTAGCCCATCGTATTCCCCTACCAATCGGACACTTGTTGTCCATCTCCGAACAAGCTAACGATCGGATGCTGCAGCATTGCAAGGCGAACTGAAAACGGTTCGCCCTTGCCAGGCTAGCAACTGCGAAAGGGAAGGCCCCTTCCAAGGAGCCAAGATCTGACATGCCGAGTACTTCAGAGCCTGTTCAAATGGGCCTAATCCAGAAAGACGATCATTTTATACGAATCAGGGCCCTTCCATGGAAATCCGCAGAATGTGACGTGGAAGTTTGGGAAAACCCCTATAGCGCGGTCCTTGATTCCGGAGCCGCGGTCCTGGCCATCTCCTTGCGAGTGGTCGAACGGGCCGGCAGGCGAAAGGACGTGATCCCACTCACGGAAGGCGATCATTTCGTCTCCGCTGACAAAGGCAAGATCCGAGTCGTAGGGAGGATGGCGAACGTAGCCTTTTGCATCGGTAAGGTCAATGCCTTAGGTGACGTGGTGGTCCTAAACGTGAACACGTACAACGTTCTTATTGGATTATCCGCCCTCACAGCACTGCGAGCCACGCTGGATTTCGAACGACAAGCCGTTATCTTAAACAACACTAAAGGAAAACCATACACCGTCCCGATGTGTTTTACCCTCAGGACAGCCGCGACGATCGAGCGACAACGACGGGAACCTGGCGCGATTTTGCGAATGATACGATGAGAGGAATCTACAGATAACTCTGACACCGAAGGTAATGAGTCTTCCTTACCAGCAACCACCTCTGAAAGTGAGGAGGAGAACGACCCGCAGATTCTCGAACTAACACGACGGATAATCCGTTACCCGTTTCGATGCCCAATGGGGATTTGCAATGCACCGACCACATTCCAGCGAGCGATGAATGTGACGTTTCAGAATTTTGTCAACAAGACTCGACTGATACAGGGGATGATCAATTTCTGCGTCATTGTGTACATGGACGACATCTTGGTCTATTCGGAATCCTACCACGCGCGCGCACAACACATTGAGTGGATGCTGGGGGCCTTGACGGACGCCGGATTCAAGATCGCGTTGGAGAAAAGCGAGTTCTTTCTCCCGGAGATTTCGTTCTTGGGCTATGTGGTGACTCGGGGTTGTTTGCGGCCCGATTCGAGAAAGGTCGAGGCTGTCCGAGACGCTCCGGCTCCCACGATGCTGACACAGGTTCGAGCCTTCCTCGGACTGGCTTCGTATTATCGACGATTTATCAAGGGATTCGCCGCTACCGCACGACCTTTAACGAACCTGCTACGGAAGGACCAACCCTCAAGTGGGACGCGGAATGTGAACGGGCCTTTGTCACTCTCAAGGAGGCCCTGGCCACAACACCTATTTTGATCCGGCCGGACCCAACGAAGCAGTTCATCCTTATTACAGACTGGCAGCCCGAGGCAGTCTCTGCTATTCTAGCACAGAAAGGGAACGACGGACGCGAGCACGTCATCGAGTACATCTCCCGTATTATACCGGACGAAGAAGGAACGATTTGGCCCCGCAAGGAGAGTGCTACGCGGTGGTTTGGGGAATCCAGCACTTCCATCCGTATTTGTACGAACAGAAGTTTCTCCTTGTTACGGATCACGAACCGCTATTGGCCCTTAAAAGGCTCACAAATTACACGGGCATGATTGGACAGTGGGCGGTGCGGCTACAGGAGTATGATTTCGACATCATCCATTGAAAGACAGAGAGGCACGGAAACACGGACGGGTTGACACGACTGCATCGTCCAACGAAGGTCGCCAAGGGCGAAGAGATCATCCCATGGAAAGACCCGGAACCAACCAGCGGACCCCGGTACGGACAAATGACAGTTCTCCCACGCACCGTGGAATAAGCACGTGGCGATGGGTGACGGAGGTAACTCCAACGCTCCTCTCTCTCCCCTCTCGTCTTCGTCTTTTCTCTCTTTACCTGAAAAATTTTGTCATTTTTGTGAAGCGATCTCGCGGGTCTACTCGGTCCCTATGCATCGTAGTGGGGATGGGTATGTCAAATGGGTAGATTTTCGGCGGTGTGTGTGAAGAGCCCATGACTCTTGTATCCAATACCGAAGCGGCAATAAACGTTGGCTGTGCCCCTTGTGTCGGACCGATAAAATCCCGACCGAGGCTCGATTCCTCGATGCCATGTCAGAAGGATTAGAAAAGACCCAAAGGTTTAGAAGGGCTGAGGTATGGACCGATGTCGCTCTGATAGCAACCGTAGTGGGGAACCCCCTCCGAGATTTCACTAGGGAGGACCGAAGGAGGGCCAATGAAAGGGCTCGGGATTATCGATGGAACGAGGGACGGTTGGAAAAACGGAAGACGGATGGTAGTGGGATTTGGATGACTGTACCACACCCGTTCATGAGGTATGACTTGGTTAAGTCAGCCCATGAAGATACCATAGCTCACTTCGCCGTCCGGATCACCGAAACGGCGATCGACAAAAACGAATGGTATTGGTCCAATATTCGCGACGATGTCAAGTTCATCGCTCGAAACTGTTAGGTCTATGCCGCTGACAAGGCACCGATCCAGCCGCCAAGATCGATAGTGCCCACAGTAGTCGAACGGTCTTTTCAAAGAGTTAGCAGTCCATCATCCACGCATCAGCCCGGACATTCTCAGATTCGCGCAGTTCTTCAGCACTAGAGGTGTGCACGTGGCAGCGGAGTTTCGCTTTGTGGTCCCCAACAGCTGGGAGCAGGTGCTGGCCGAAGCATTGGCTTATCGACGACTCTCGGAGCTGGGAATCAGTCACATTTCAACAGTTGTTTTCTTCAGCGGGGATCTTAGTACGGTGGAGCCCAGAGCACATACGACCATCCGTACCTCGTTGAGGGAGGGAGGCGAGGAATTGGCGGAGGCTTGGAGCTAGTTACTTGCACGGCGAGGGGAGAACGTCGTCAATACCAACAGTATTGACACTGGCAGCATCCGCACTCTCCGACACGAGCCGACAGTTACTCTCCCTGCGCTCGTCCCCTTTTCGCGTCCTCAATGAACCGCTCCCAATTCTCTACCTTCAGCCTCCCCTTTGTCTTCCCTACTTTCTGGCAGTCAGCCCTCCATCCCCGCCTCTCCTTCTGCGTACGGCCGCTTACAGTTCCGCTCATCAAGCCATTGCATTGGGAGATATGGTGTGAGAATTACTCCACCCTTTCCTTGTGCCTAATCGGGAGCGAGCTGACTTGGACTCGGGACAGTGAGCACCGTGCCGTGAGTGAGAGTGTGGAGCTGCTTATCATCCAAGTCTGGAGGTCAGAGGTGGAGGGAGACCTTCTCGGATTTGTCTTCGGAACAGTAGACCCAAGACATCGGCAGACGATTGTGTGGGAGCTCTTGGTCCCCTTCACACAGCTGCTCGACGATCTTCCAACCGACATCGTCTCGCATTGCGACGAGAATCCGGCGCCGCACGTTCTTTCGCGGAGTTTAACGCCGTACTTGCAATGGTCGGCCTGTCTGGAGGATCACGGGCGAGGCGGTAACTACCCATCGCGCGCGGAGTATCTGAATCCCCGGGGGATAATCGATATCCTTTTCTTTCGGCCTCGAATGGCGTTGGAGGAGGAGGCGGTAGAGGTAGAGGAGGAGGACGAGAAGGAAGAAACCCCTGAAGAGGAGGAAAGTTATAGCGAGTATAGCGAGCAAGAGTCTGGGGGGGTGAGCGAAGAAGAAGAAGAAGAAGAAGAAGAAGAAGAAGAAGAAGAAGAAGAAGAGGAATTCGAGTGGGAAAGTTTGGGAGGAGAGGCCGACCAGGCGGAAGTCCAAGAAGAGGATCCCGCGACAGCCGTGCGAAGGAGGGAAGAGATAGCGGTAGGGAAGCGGCCGTTGGAGCATTCAAGCGGCACAGATTTGCCAATCCGGGGCGACCTGACCAGAGATCCCGAACCGCCCGCAATCAGGGATGAGCTCCCTCCTGTTGAGACATCGAGCGCGCCGGCGTGAAGGCGACAAAGCCGCTCCCCCTCCCCTTCCCCCCGTCCCTCAGTTCGAACACGTGGCGATGCGGGGCATCGGGCTACGTCCCTGGTTGTTATCCCGTCGTCCCCTTGACTTTATGACCCTCCGGCAGATCGATACCCCACTCTCCTTCCCTCGTAGCCCCTTTCCGACTTCCACCTTCCTTCACTTCTACGCCACTTGCCTCGCTGTCACGGTGTATCCGCACCCCACCACGAGATGCGCCTCTCCCTCTTTCTCCCTCCACGTTCTTGTCTTTAGTGCCACATGGCGGGGACACAACATCGTCGAAGTCTACTGCACGATCACAGGAACTATCCCCACATGCGCGGACTATGATCAGTTCTGCACGGCCTTGCTCTGCTCCTTCTTGACCCTCTATCCCGACTACCTCGCTTCTCTCCCCCATAGCGGTTGCCGATTCCCCCTCATACATCGCATTGTCAAATACCAAGAGCTGCCGGAGACGGTAGCGGGAATGGAGAACTTCTTACCTCCACTCCTAAGTGACCCTCCCCCTCGTCATGCCCCCATGTACCAACTCCCTTATCCTCTCCCTACGGGTCATTAGCGCACCATCGGATCTGATGACGTGTCAATAGGAGGATTTCCACACTCATATCCTACGGTAATGACACGTGTAAATTGGCAAGATTCCCCCACCACCTCCTCCGTCCGTGGTCAGATTGCCCTTCCCGGGGAACTTGTAGGATAGAGCCCGCGTACGCCACGTTGGATGACTTCCACACTCTTATCGCACGGTAAGTGGCACGTAGAGAGCTCCGTGTCCTCGATCGATTAGAGAGATCGGCGCGTGCTGCAACATCGAGCAAGCAGGAGCTTGATCAAGATTGGAACCCCCTGGGCGTCACATATGTGACGAACCACCTTCTGTGCCGCGCGGTTTTCTATGCGATGACAATGAGGGGTCCTGAGATGGGAGGGTAGGGCGAATTACGGGGGGTGGGATCGGCGAGTAAATTGCGTCAGTGTCCTCGCTTCTTTCTTTTCCTTCGCTTTGCTTCTTCCCCTTCGGCGGTGATGGGACAGGGCCGGGGCAGACGATTGAGTGTGCGCGCCCTGTTAGGCACGATCAATAACGGTTGGCGATGGTTCGTTCTTGCCCTGTTGAGAAAAAAAAGGGGAACTGAGATTTTTGGTGCGATGATCGCGCGGGAGCTTTCCGGTTTTCTTTTTAAATTTTCCTTCCAACTAATGACGAGCCCCCGAGGGCTCTCGGAATTTTGATTTCTTTTACGTTTTATTTGCTTTCCTTCCATCTCGTCGGAATTTTTCTGTTGCAATTTCAAGTTCAGATACGAATCTATGACTTTTTGAATTTCTTGTCGAGTTGCGCCTCTTTCTTGCGTGCATCTTCCTGCGGCGGGAACAAAGTTCTGGCTCGACGGCGCCTGAATCTTGCATGCAACTGTAATTTTTGGGCGGGCGTCATTTTAACTGTATCTTTCTTCTTTCGCCTTCTTCCCGCCTCCTTTTTCTTTGCTATGTCTGATTGAGCGGCGCGCTGCATGATCGGATCGATGCGTGCAGTTTGGCTACGTACCCCACGCCGCGGTCTGGCCATGCAGAATGCAGGCACTGCCTTCCCTTCTCCTCTTTCCAATCCCTGCAATCTCGCACTCTTCGCACACTCATGCATGCTATAAATCTCGTCGTCGCGATTAGATATCTCTCTTAAATTTTTTGGAAGCTCGAGGTTAGTGCGATCAGTGAGGGTCGGCTAATGAGCCAAGTAAGAGGTGAGTCGACGTGGGAGTTGGGCGACCCGACGAGTTGGTGCCAAGTGCGCGGGGTTGACGTGTAGGCCACGACGGACTGTGGCGCACGGGCGAACCTGACGGGCGCATGCGGACTAAGCGGGGTGACAACTTCGTTGGTGGGTGCGAGTCGACGGACTGTCCGCATCGGGAAAGGAGAAAGAGCGGAGAGAGATGGGTGTGAGAGTGTAATCTTTTCTTATCCCTTCTCAGTCCTTGTATATAAAATTTTGGCTTCGGGCGAGACGCCCCTGTTCTGCATTTTGACGTTTCTTTCGGCGTGCTATCATGTGAAGTATGGGTTTAATGTTTGTCCTTCCTGTTTAATTTTGCACTCGCTCCATGGGATGGACTTGATGATCTGGTAATGCTTGAATATCCAATGTTTGACGCAATACCCCTGGGGTTACCCAGCGCATGCAGCGCCGATCTATCCCCACTTGATGATTAGCAGATGAAATAAGTTTGATGTTGTTGCAGTGCTTCGATGTATGTCTGGATGGCGATGAGATATCCACAGGCCATGTCATTGTGAATCAAAGGGAGTTGTGTTGCGCATCCAGGAAGGGGATTTTCCACCTGATGGCCACCTAACTGCTTTTTGCTCGAACAAAAATGGCTGAGAGATTATTGCATGATTACATGAACCTTCATTTGCATAGGTGATTGGCTAATAGATCGATCCACAACGGACCAACCCCGCGAGTCCCCGTGTAAGTGCGATCTGACGAGCGCAACTTACACGAGCACCCGCGAGGCTGGCCCGCAACCCCGAATGGACTTAGCACGACAGATCTCGATGTGAATGAGAGAATCCCCATCTGCGATACGGGTCGGGACAAATTCAGGTCCCGACGCCATAAGGGGACCGCTAGGTGTGTACGCTTTGAGAATGTCCAAAACAAAACGAGATTGATAGCCTGAGGGAACTAGCTGCATGGTTGAGCCGGTACGCTGATGGATCGCTCCTTGATTATTTGAGCAGTTTAGGATTTGACCAACCAGCCAGTGCGCACGCACGTGTAAGACAGCAGTCGTCCGCAGACTTGTCATCCACACGCGCGCCTACAAAAGCCAGCTACGATCTCGCCCCGTAGGGAGATGTGTGTGCAGGAATTTGGTTGAACGAGACATGGCGATAGATTCCCCTTTCTGGATCACCGATCGCGACAGCCTAAGGGACCCTGAATACCGAGCGTATTGGGAGAGGGAATAGATCCGCCAGGAGCTGATCCGACAACATTGCCACCTACGGAACCCTGGGCACCTTGAGTACCCCTGCCGGACTGAAAACGAGCGATTGTGCAGGGGCGACTTCCAACTGGCAATCAACCAAGACCAGCGGATTCCCGATTATCCCGACAGTCGAAACCAGCAATATCTTCTAACCCCAGGCTTCGTTGCCATCACCACTGACTTCCCGCCCTACTATATCGTCCTCCCTTACCACCGGTTACTCGTGGTCCCCTGTGATTCCATAGCCAGGTTCTGGCCCCGTCCGCCGTGCTCAGATTTTCGGCAGCCCGGTGAGTATTGGCAGGCAAGAGGCACGCAATGAGCCCATCCCAGGACAGAGCGACGAGAACCCAGCTCGTCTTTGTCGGACCCCGAGACTTGCGACGACCGACAGTGGTACGAGCACTCCCAGAGAGACACCCGTAGCACCCCACCCCGGCCCAGGTTGCGCGATCAATCATCGCCCCAACTTTGAGCCAGAAGACACTTGCACTTCTACCCCTGAAACTTGTCACTGGAGATCTCAGTTCCGACCAGGGACTCCATCCCAAATCCCCAAAAATCCCACTCTGATCAGGAAGTCGGGTCGGGCGTGAGGTTGGGCGTCACAGGGGTCCAACGGTCGGCGAAATTGAATATTTTGCCACACGCCGCCCTCATCCTAACCCATGTCGTCGACGGATAACAACACGGTGCGTCTGTCGTATGCTGTCCTCTTCCGTTTCCTTCCTTCACTGGTGTCGTTTGGTGGACCTCCACCGTCGTCGACAAGTTGCATCCCTGTCGTGCGTGCCATTGATGGCCGACCTCTGTTGCAGGCTTCCTGTGCTGCTCCTAGTCGTCGTTCTGCCTGTCGTCGTTGTCATGTTCCACATGTGCATCAGCCTTAAGGTGCCTGGGCGTACACGCAAGAGGCGGTCGGGGAAGAAGTTGTGGACATGGACGACCAATAGTTGAAGAGCAGGGCTTTGTTCGACTCCCCCACCGCTTCCCACGTGCAGCATAGCAGTGGTCGTAGGTCACAACAATACGATCCGACTGAGTACGCGCACTTACCGTCACACGAAATTCTGCTGCCGCCGACGAACGACGAGGCGGAGGAGGAATGTTCTCGCACCGTGGCACTTGGGAGCGGATCGACGCAGGATTGGGCGGGGAACTAGTTCTTTGGTAGTCAGCAAACAACGTCTCGGCAGTCATACACACAACTTCTCGAAAAAGGTTTAAGCGAGGAAGACGCATGTGCCGGCGTCAATCTGTCGTTCAGACTGTGTAGCGCGATCTCAGCGGCAACGACACGTACACGCATCGTCAATCCCCATCCTAACGACGATTGGGGTGATGCACCAGTCGTCGACCGGTCGGGGGGTGGGGTCGTCCGCAGGATCGTCGGCAGCAGACAAGACGAGGGATCGACGCTGTGTGCAGTCGAAGTCGATGCCGACAACATGTCCCGAAGTCGTTCGTCCGCAGAGGGTGCAATTGCCATCGCCGTTGTCGGGAGGTCTGGTGACGGGAAGGCGGTCGGTTGTGAGCGTTGCGGACGCCACATTCGCACAGGACGTCGATGAACGGACGGGTTCACACGTGTGGGCGGAGCATCGCCAGGAACTCCGTTGAGATCGTGAAGACGCGATAACCGGGGGGTTCGCCACCTGCATATCCGCCGAAGCGACGAAGACAAAAAGGTGGTTGTTGTGGTGGACGACTACGAAGACTTGGACGACGAAGACGAAGAAGACGAAGACGTTGCTGTGGAGATTAAGCCTCCGGGCAAGAGGTCCATGGGTGGTCGTGGAACAAGCAAGAAGGCTTCTGCCCCGCATGGACGACGGACTGAGAAGAGTGTATCTGTCGGGAGCGATGGCGAGGGCGACGTCGACGTGGACGGTGGGAGGAACTTTTGGTCGGTGGACCACATGGTCACTCTCGTGAGGGCGAAATGGGATCAGGATGCGCACATGGAGGGTATGGGGCACGCATTTGCCTGCATGAAGCCAAGGGAATGGAAGTGGCAGGATGTTCACGAGAGACTGAAGAAGGTGGGCATCGCAAGGAATCCTGAGAACTGCGGGAAGAAATGGGACAACTTGATGCAGCAATTCAAGAAGGTGCACAGGTTCATGCACGAGTCCGGGAAACCGGACTACTTTCAGTTGAAGGGCAAGGAAAGAAGATCACACATATTCAACTTTGTTATGGAACGGGCCGTGTATGAGGAGATAAAGGGACCCACAGCGAAGAATCACACCATCCATCCGAGGAACGTCATTGACACGGGTGCGCCGAGTGGTGTGGAAATGTCGTCCGGGTCGGGTGGGAAGAGAGGCGATGGCGATTGCGCGGGCGGCGGAGGTGGCTAGCCGCAGGAAGAAGACGACGGGTCGACGAAAGGTTCTTCGTTAAGTGCAGGTGGCACTCCCGAGCTGGCAAAAAGGAAGAACATGAGGCAGTAGACGTTCGAGGCACTCACAGACATCATGGAGAGGCATGGGACACTAATGGCGACGACCATGGAGAGTGAGAGCAAAAAAGGCAGTGCTCGATGATGATGCGGCAGTGCAAGATCATGGAGTCCAAAGTGGACGCCCAAAAGAAACACTGGGCGGCGTCCGATGATTTGAGCAAGCTCATGTGCCAGACCCTCATGGAAATAGCGAGGGCTATCCGGTAGAGATAGCACTCTCGTGCGTGCATGCATGGGCGGATGTGTTTACCCTCCTCGCCATCATTCTAAGATGACGTCATCATCACGACCTCCTTGCCAATGACGTCCATCAGACCAACGACCTCCAATGTCGCCCTGCCTTTATCTATGCATGTTTGTCGTCTTGAAGTCGTTCTGGTCCGCGCGCAGAGTCGCAGACTTCTTGGCACGGAAGTGGAAGTCCACTTACGTTGCCTGCCATTTACGAAGTCGTTTGTTCGAAAATGACAATGTTTGTTTTTCCGTATTAAGATGATTTAGGTGGTGTTGTGCCACAACCTGCCATAGCGGTCCTCGTTTCAGTAATTAGGCAGGAATGATTCCTCATTTCGGTAATTGAATTTGAGGGGGCGACGATATCAGTCGCTATTCAGTTCATTGTGCTCTCTCTCTCTCTCTCTCTCTCTCTCTCTCTCTCTCTCTCTCTCTCTCCAACGACCTCTACAATTGTGCGTGTGTGTGTGTGTGTGTGTGTGTGTGTGTGGAACGGTGCTTTCCCAAAAAAATAGGTTGTTCTCTAATTATGAAAACAGAGAAGTTCAATTTCGTGTCTTTTATGCAGTCCATGTACGGAAAAGGTGGTGTCGTGAATGCAACCTGTGTCGAAGGCAGGTCGTGTGTTTAATGAAGTCGTTAAAGGTTTAATGAAGTATTCGAAATGTTAAAAATTGAGTCGACGACGATGTTCTTTCGCATCTAATGCAGTCCATGTCCAAGAAAGGTTGAAAACAAGACGAAGATGGGTCTTTAAAGCAGTCGAAATCTGGATGTAATTTCCCAATTTATTACAACAACTGGTTGCAGGGTGGTGTAATCATGGCAAGGGATTTTAATGCAGCCCCATACAAATGGCTAAACCGATGGAAGATACCTGCTCCTTGCCCAGCATATATAGAAGAGGATGAAAAGATCATAAGTAGACTTTGTTCTTCTGACCATCTGTATGATACTACATATAGAAGGATTTTCCTTCGAAAACGTTTTTTTACCTGTATTCGTAACAGTGGATCCCCTTATCATTCCAAGTCTCGAATTGACCTGATTCTTATGTCAGAAGATCTGGATCGTGCTCTAGTATGGGCAGCGATCTTCCCTCAGAGCCCATGGCCAGAAGCGGATCATAAAATGCGTGAGATTTTGCTGTCATTTCGTAAAAAAACAGATCAAGGGAGGGGGTTCTACAAATTAACCACTTCATTGTTGTCTCAATCCTCATTCATACGTTATATACAGGATGTATGGGAATACTGACATACTACAAAAAATAGATATGACTTTTACACAGACTGACTTAACAATGGCTTGACCTTTATAGCCAAGAAATGTAAAGAATTTTCTAAGTTTTAGGCTAAAAATTGACATCTTCAAGAGATGAGCATTCAAGAACAAATCCTAAAATATGAACTAGAAGATCAACCTAATAATTCTCAACTAGTGGACATACAGGATCTTAGAAAACAACTTTTGGACTTTGCTCAACACCATTGGCAAGGGCTTTCGATTCGAGGAAAGTTAACCAAATTCTTGATAGAAGGTCAAATGGATTCCTCCTATTTTGCCCTAGCACGTGCTCGTGCTAGGCATTCAAGTATCGAAGGTTTTTAAGATCCTTTTGATAAAGATGATATTTCTTTTTCTACTTCTTCTGCGGAAAGTTTAAAGATTGATTATAATTTAAAAAAAAAATTATATCGTCTGAAGATCGGAGGGATGGATGGAAGATGAAGAAGCCATAAACCGTTTTCTTGCTCCAATGTCACGGTCACTCTCCCAGTCCCAAAGGGAGCACTTAAAGAATCCAATAACTAAGGAAGAGATCTGGACAGCCTTACTTCAGATGGAAGAAGACAAAACACTGGGGATAGATGGTCTTTCTAAAGAATTATGGGAAACCATGTGGCCCACCTTCTCCTCCAACCTGATGGAATTTTTTGACCAAGTCCAAGAATCAGGATGTATGGGGGAATTTGTGAGTCAAGGAGTTTTAACTCTTCTATATAAAAAAGGGAGTTAAAACTAATATTAAAAATTACCAGCCTATTACCCTTCTCACTGTGGTCTACAAAATGTTGGCCAAAGCATTGGCAAATCGTCTAATTCCATTAATGACTGATATTATTCACCCCTCCCAAATGGGATTCATCAATGACGGACATATCCAGGATAACATTTTGTTAATTAACGAAACAGTTAAACTTGTATGTCAGTCTAAACTGAATACTGCTTTTGTTTTCATAGACTTTGAGAAAGCCTATGACCATGTGGATTGACGTTTTTTGGATGCTTGCCCCAGTAAGATGAACTTTGGTCCAAATTTGAGAAGATGGGTATCCATTTTGCACCACAATGTGACAACAAGAGTTCAAATCAACAGTCTTTTAGCCACAGAAATTCACCTACAAAGATCAGTTAGACAAGGGGACCCTCTTGCCCCCTTTTTGTTTTTAATAATCATGGAAGCTCTATGTGAAAATCTCAAACGATTTACGGTTACTGAAATCCCAAAGGAGGCCATACCGGTCACCTCAATGTTTCCAGATGATTTAACACTAATGGTGGAAGCCTCTGAGAGTAATATGGAAGAGATTAAATCTCTGGTGGACTGTTTCTCTCATGTTTCTGGTATGGTGGTGAATTGGGGGAGTAAAACACACGGCTGGTAGATTCACTCTAATGACATTAGACCGCCGGAATTTCCAAGAGTAAGTTGGGTATCACTTGATGCTCCAATCCGCATTCTAGGTGTCTCCCTCACAACTCAAGGTAAACCACTCATTAATGATGATTGGGTTTTTGGCCCAGCAATCGATAAAATGAATCAATGGAAGGATCAACGTACTTCTTTGCTCGGGATATCCTTAATCATAAATAATGTGATATTTGCCTCGATGCTGTATAAATCTGCCTTATGGTCAAATCCCTCAAACACGGATGAAATTGTCGCGTAAACAAGTCTCAGCATTCTTATGGAGGGGTAACCATGAGGAAAAAAGGTAATCCCAAGGGTCGCTTGGAATACTATTATCCAACCCAAATCAAGGGGGGGCCTAGAGATTCTGGATCCAACTTCGCAATGTCAGGCCCTCTCGCTTCAATGGATCAATAAATTAATATTTCGTATCAACAAACCCTGGTTGATGCTAGCCTTGGAACAAATTAGAAGGTTGACTCCCCATACTAATAACGATGTACATCCCCTTACATGGATTGAGGATTGTTATTGGAGCATTCCTAGAGAGCATTCTCAATCCAAAATACAAAGAGATAGAGGGGCAACAACTAGAAATGATCTTGCAATGAATGATCTTTGGATTACTATGCTTACAAATTGGTGACTCCTACCCCTACCAAATACACCATTTCCCTCCATATATGATGAGGTGTTTCGTAAGCCTCTCTTTGGTAACAAATGGATTACTGACAGGAATGGGGGTTAAAAGGGGGGTTTTGCAAGTTAAAGACCTGTGGGATACAACAAAAAAGGACTGGAAAACAGCAAAACAATTGAGAGAGATCCTCAGGTATGCTCATCGGCTATGGGATTTTTTAAACCAAATTATTTTTTCTATTCCCCTGGCTTGGATCCCTACGTTAAAAAAAGGAATTCGCTTTCAGGAAGCAGATTGGCTAGTAGGATGCATACCTGGTCACTCAGTGGTGAGCAAAATAAAATGGGCCAAGTCATACACCTGCTGCATGATGGCACCTTGGTAAGTATATGTGGGATCAAAAGGGACTCTAACTTGTCTCCAACAGAAACAGTGGAATTACTTCGCTATAATTGCATCTACAGAATCAGGGTTATTTTTAATTCTTCTTCCCAAGGATGGACAGTGTACCATCCTGAAACTTCAATTCCTGAGCTTCCTCTAGCTCCAACAAAGTCGATTTGGTCAACACATAAAAGGGGAACACCACAAGTTTTGCAATCTTTAACAATAAATGTCACATATAGGCTTATTCGCCCAAAAGTGGACGTGGCAGCAATAGTACAAGAACGGTGGGCTAGACATCTCAATATAGATATAAATTTAATTGCGCACATCAAGTTTTTTAGAACTCTCAAGCAACGCCCAACCAAATTTGCCTCTCTACAGTGGCAAATATTCCACCGATGTTTGCCCACAAATAATTGGGTGATTGACTGTTCGAGGCTGGAACAATGAGGCTTGGCAGTACCATGGTGTAAGTCTTGTGTATCTGCATTCCCTAGTAGAAAATTTCGGGAAACTATCGAACATATCTTTCTTCAATGTGCTGGTACGGTGTTGATGCGTAAGTGGGATTGCATTTGGAGGACCATGACAAATCTGGATTGGCTCTGGGACTGGAGGGCTATCCTTCTAGGTCATTGGGATCCTGCAGTATTTCAACTATCAGACTTTCAGCAAAACTTTTTATGATAGGACGTAAGGCTATTATATAGACGCTATGGTACAAACGCTGCGTATGAGAAAGAGAAGATGTGAAGTTAGAAGGACTTAATATTGTGGAGTCAATTGTGGATTTTGTGCAAACAGAGGTTCGGGCACAATGGAAGACCCTCACAATCAAATTATATAAATTTTATTTTAAAAGAGATATAAAAAAGACAATCCAACAATTTGAAAAGGATTGGCTGGGAAAATCTGCTAAGGGGGGACTGGGTGAAGTGATGTGGTCAGGTGCGGAGGGGGAAGAGGAGTCTTTTAAAAAGGATTTTCACCTCCTATTCCGAGACTGGTTCAAACTTCAGCCAGGAGCTTCGCTTAGATCTTCTGATTTTTTCACAGATCCATTTCCCCCTTCCAAGCTTGCTTTGGTTGATTTATAATGGTTTGGAATAGAAGGGGAGTGAAGAAGGTGGAATCTTTGTTTTTTTCAAATTTTGGATCTGCACATCATCAAAGGAAACTTCGGGGCTTGGTTTGTTTTTTTTATTATCTGACGGTCTTTTAATGGACTGAAGAGGCACCCAGTTTTTCTCTTTTTTCTCACAGTTATCAGGAACATCATGAGGGAAGTTGGACCCGGTTCTCAGCATATGCTATGGTTATCTTTGTTCAAGGGACGCTGGACCCGGTTTCCAGCAGGTGCAGCTTCCCACCAATAGAATGGAGTCTCTTGCATGACAGGTGGGAGTGCATGCTCTTATCATCATTCCT